AAAATATACATATTGTTAATTCTGGTACCTCTCAATGGACTTTTCCTGATTAATATTGAATGATGAGGTTTTATTATTTGCTAATAGATAAAAGATGAGATATGGGATGAAGAGATTTTTGGTTAAAATGTCAGAAAAGGTGGTAAGTTACTGAAATTGTACTTGTCTTGATGAAGGGGGAAGTTATTTCTTTATATATCTTTTTTTCTTTATATTTTTTTCCTTCCTCTTTTTTTCTCTCTGCACTTTTTTTTTTATATTTTTCTTAGTTTGTATTAGCTTTTATCTTTGTATTTTTAAACTTCAATAAACATTATTATAAAAAAATAGAACTATAGTCTAATGTTTTGTTTTACTGTTACAGCTTCTGGCCTGGATTTATTTCTCTCTGTTTGGAGTTGGATAGAAGATCTGAAATATTTGCTAATATTGTTCATTTGGATGATATGGAGTTGTTGAACACCAAAGATGGTTAATATAATTTAAGAATCAAATTATGTGTGTTAAGTATCTAAGGCATGCATTTTTAATTTCATTAACATTGAAATAAAACAATTACATTTAACAAAAAAAAATCTGTTTTTTGGAATTGCATCTAAGAAGACAGTAGAACATAAATTTTGCACGATAAAATTTGAATTTTTTTAAAATATGGTTCTGCTATTTTCTGCAAAAGTAATTTGTAGATTTTGAAAGCCTGTTATATTTAGTTTTTAGGTTTGTTATATTCATGTAATTAAAGTAGAGTCAAAGTACTATGACTTCCTAAATCCTCCTGGCTCTAGTCAGAAGTTGAGTAGTGGTAATTGGTGGTGAGGTCCCTTTCTGCCATTCTTCCCTCCAGGCTCCAATGTTTAAAAAGTTATGTCCAGAATTCTACTTTTATTTAGTTGACATTCATTCCATTCTGTTTGGGATATAAGTTGAGGGAAAGTAAGGATGTAGAATTTAATGCATCCTTGGCAACCTAATATGTCCCCAAACTACCCAGATTTAATAACCATGAAAACTAGAAAAGCCCAAATTCTCCAGGGAAGACTCTTCATTGCACAGTTCCTTCTTTGCCATTGGAAAGGATTCTACAGCATCCAACAGCCACTCTGGAAACAAAAAAAAATTATTCCCTTAATCAGGCTTCTTTATTTTCCCATATGGGTTTATCTTCTGTGTTACCTTGGAAATTGTGAACAAATTCATTTTTAATGTCCCCTTCCAAACTTCAGCAACTAATTGCAGTCACCATGATTTGAAGACGGCCCTCTCCCCACCACTTCCTTTATATACATGCAAAATGCCTTTAGTTTACTAGGAAGGAACCTATTGATGTAAACCAAATAGTGAGCATACCATGTATTACTAACCAATATTAACTCAAAAATGTGATGGGAAGACCAATGGTTCACATATACACAGCTGCCAAAAAGATTTAAATTAGATAAAAGAAGTTATGAATTTACCCCTGAGAAAACTGAGTTTGAATATGCTTTGAACATATTCTGTTTCTTACCCTATACATTATCTTGCAATGTGCATGTTGCTAGTCTGGCTTTGTATCTTCCACTGATGTGTACTGGACTTTATAAATCCATTGATTGCTGTCTAGATCAGAATGTAGTGAGAGAAATGTTGCATAATGCATAGCTGTACCAAGACATTTGCTGCATACCAAGTAATATAAAGTAATTTGCGTTTTGCTGTAAATAGCTTTTTTCATAAATCAAATCTGTATTTAGGGACAGTTCCGAAGACAATAGAAGAGTGGAAGCTCCTTCTTTGCCTTGTGAAGAATCATGACAACATCCTTGTTTCACAAGATGACACTGCTGTTAGTAATGGTACTCCTGAATGGTCAAATTCTGTTACTGTTGAAAATGTTGCACTCCTTGCAGCCAGAATAATTGGCCCAGATCGTTCTTTGCAGCTGTTGCAGGAATGTGATCTGGTACCTGAATTATCAGAAAGATTTGCCAAGATCTGTGACATACTAAGAATTGCTGAAAAACGGCAAAGGTAAGTGTTATAAGAATTGTTTCTCATAGATGGGATCCAGAAATACTGTATTATGATTTAGAGCTGTTATCACAATCACAGTGCTTCACAATCAATTTTCTTGAATACTATGATTTCAAGATTTTTTTTGGTGACAAACAGAACATCAACATGAAATAATAAAAAACACAAAAGCAAACATTGAAAAAAACTACTTGGTTGCATGAGCATTTTCCTTTTAAAGCGAAATATACAACTTTTAAATTTTCATATTATTTCTATCCAAAAAGACAAAAATAAGTCTATTAGATTGAGCAATTAAAAATGGAGACCACATTTGAATAAAACAATCCATAATTAAAGAATTCAAGATTCTTTTCTGTTGTGCCAATTTTTTTACAATCAGTATTATTTCCTACACTTTTAATAGGATTGATCAAAAGAAAGATTAAAAGATAGTTTTTCAGTATTTCACTATAATAAATCTGGCAATTAAAAAACTCAACTCTCAACAATTCTGGATGGTTTATAAGTTTATGGTTTATAAGTCTTGGGAAAATTTATAGCCAAATTAATTAACAAAGAGATAAGTGTGATTTTTTTTTCCAATTCTCTGAAAAATATTTGACCAAAGGTAATATTTAAATGGGTATTGTCACCAGAGTTGTAATAGGCAGCAATTTGATTACAGCTCCTCCATCAGTACTGAAAGATTCTGACTGATGCGTCATTTTAAAAGCCTATGTTATATTTCTGCACTGCTGTTATAGACAGCTTCTAATTACTTATCATAGAGTATTTAAAGCGATTTATACCACATGAGTTCTCAAATCCAATGCCCATACCTTTTAAAGATTTTCAAGATACCCTGTTGTATTTGATACAATACTGAAATTGTTCCTTTGATTTTAAATAAAATATGGAAAGCTGCAGCCTGTCCTGGCTATATTTTCTTAAAACTAGGATTAAATAAATCTCTTGGGAAGAAAGTCAAGTAGGATAGTTTTGTTTTGTGTATTGTCTTTGTAAGTTTTTTCAATTTTATTTTGATTTAGGATTGTTTTAACTTAGCAAAGTGGGTAATAGAAAGGTCTTAAGAACTCATTAAAAGTTAGAGCTGTGGTGGTGACAAGTATGTTATATTTATAGGCCAATCAGCTTGATGAAATAATGCATTTCTTTACAATTTTTTCCCTTTATGCTTCACTTCTGTTGCAGAGCCTTGATCCAGTCCATGCTAGAAAGATGTGACCGATTTCTGTGGTCTCAACAGGCATAAAAAACATTCTGGAATATAAAGACAGTGATAAGAAACATTTTTTCCTACTTTGTACCATTTTAAAGAAAAATCTTTCTGAATAGAAAAGGCATAGTAATGAATATAATAAAGCTTGTTTTCAGTTAGATTTCTGTTCAGTATTAGAGATTTATACTGATTATTTATGGAAAGTGTTGGATGACGTTGCCAAAAAGATGGAAAAACATTTATATGCAAAATATTTTTCAACTGTTGGGAGTAAGCATGAAGATGGGATTCTTTATGTTGGAACAAATTCTTATGTACTTAAATTTGGTTAAGAATGAAATATTTAACAACTTTTATGTCAGAAGTTTTTGGATTTTTTTTGGATAAAACAGCTTGCACATGAATATAATTACAAATATTTTATAATTAAAGAGTAATCATGTACTTTCTGAATAAAATAAAAATCTTTGGCATGGTGCATTGTTCAGTTAAGCATGACATGATTTTATCTAACCTTCCACATATGTAAAAAATATTGTGAAATTATACTAGTTACATTAAAAAACTGAAGTGGTAACTAATAGAATTGAGTAATTCTATTAATTGGTATTACTGGCAATACCAATGTCTAATTCAAAATAGGCACTCATGGAACTTATATGTATTTGAAGCTTACCTGTTTTATCATTTAGAGAGTTGATACAATTCATTGTGGAATAGAGATATGAAAAAATTGCTGTATTTTTCTAAAAGCCTGTCTGACAGGGGTAGGAAGGGGGACTCTCTTGCTTGGTTTTCAGGAAATTGAAGACATTGCTGGTAGAGATATGAAACTGGTGTCCTTTCTTACCAAGTATTTGGCTGTGTTTTTCATTTATTCACTATAGTGGTTTGGGTAGATAAATTACGCTTATGTATATTTGGCATGGATCATGTACTACTAATTTTTGTTTATTGCTAAGGTAGTGATTTTTGGTCTGGTAATTGGGGAAGGGAAAGGTTATAAAATTATTATGATTAGTCTTGCATTCAGCTGAACCTTCTCCTGAAATGAATTAGAATTGCACCATCTTTATTCTCTGGTTTACAGCACTGCAATAACAAGCATTTCATGCTCCTACTTATTCATGTGTTTCAGGGTAATTAAACCGGCAGAAATGTTTCTTTTCCTCTTATGTTGAATAAAGAAAAAGAAATATTTGTTTCAAAGCACTAAATAAAAGACCTTGTAACTATATGCCACAATCCAAAGAGTCCCATTCCCACTTGCAGGCTTAATCTGTGTTCATCTCCTGTTTCTACATAGTAGCTTCTTAGCTTGCTATTTTATTTTGGGGAAGCTTTTGATGGAACCATGGAACTATGGCTGTGGCCATAACTTTTCAACTCTTTAAATCTGAGCTCACCCTGTTGTATAAATGAGTACTACCTCATGTTTGTTTTAAGACTGATTTAGATGCACAGGGAGTTCATGAAATAATAATATTTTGCACTGCATTCTATTTTCAAAATTATTATTTTTGGTATTTGTCTTATCTGCCTTCTACTTTTAAAAGAAACAATTCATAAGCACTCAGTATTACTTTGTAAACATTTTTATATTAACAGAAATCTGGAATTGTGCTCATGATTTTACCTAACCTGATGTTTAATAAAGTTAATATAACTTACTTGTTGCTTCTTTATTTTTCAGGACTTTCAATGATAAAGGTTACCACTGAATGTTAGATTTAGCTTTTTTATAACCGTCATGAGTATTTCATTGAAAAACATTTCACTTTTCTTAATATATGACTAACAAGTTTTCATGATATTGAAAGCTTAAAATTTTTGAAACTAAAATCTCTACTTTTCAGCTAAAATCCCCCAAAAGAGACAAGCACAGAGAGAAAGCTTTATTTTTGGCACACTGCTTCCTGTGGCAAGGAAAGACTTGGACTTAAATGAAGTCTTCAAAACTGACTTGCAGTGCCGAAATAGCTTTGTTGGGGCAACTAAATCATAAAGAGGCTATACCATAGTCACCTATTGAGGAATAGAAAGGTGAACAAAATTTAAGAAACCAAACAAGGATTGCAATCCTTAAAAGTTTTTCATCCTGTGAGATATGAAAATTTCTTCTTACATGTCTGCCATTATTTTGATCTCTGATTCTAAAACCAAGGAAATGTATTGGTCTGGCAAATCTTTAGGTTTTTTTTCAGGTGAATAATATAATCAGCTTCTCCCAATATTTTAATTCTGTTAAACTCTTTGTTATGCACTAGCAAGCTTACAACTTCTTTCTAGATTTGTCTTAACTATATAGTAATTGGAAGCAACTGAGTTTCCTATTTTGGAGCTGAAGGGCTTCAGCATCAGCTCTCTTACACCTTTCGTATATATTTAGTATATACTTAATATATTTATGAGAAGGTAACCTGAATCATAAAATGCATGTAGATTTAAATAGGTAAATGTTACTTACATTATGTGCTTAGTGTTTTCTATTTATGCCAGACATCCTTCGTTTTTCATTTCCTTGCCTGAAGCATATGTGTGTGGATGAGAAAAAACAATTGGGAGGCTAATCCTGTGGTTAGGGAATAAGTTGACTGTTGGCATGTGGAAAATGTAAGAATGTGTGTAGATCAAAATACATCTTCTGAAGGGAATTTTCTTATGCTTTGAAATCACATTTTTATGTGGAATTCTAATTCTGGTTTTGGCTGATATTTCAGAGGTCAGGTCTTCCAGGAGTTGAGTTTAACTCTTGGTTAATTGATTACATAAACATGTCCATGTTGGCTTCTTGGAAAACTTATGGAAATTGTTTTCTGTGGCCTTATTCTGGCATGTTTTCTTTTTACTTCCCAGTCTAATTTACAGGTCTGATAGTCTCATCAAAATACTGGTGAAGGTCAATCCTGCTTTGCTTTTTTTAGACCAGTCAAGGTCAGATAGATGCTATCTGTTATGACATAATTTACATCTCAGTCCCAAAGCACATCACACAAGGTAAAGATTTTTTCTTCATAACATAATTTGCTAGGCCCCTTTTTCCTTTTTAAAATTAAATATAACATTCAGAGTAATAAAAAAGATCAAAAGGCTAGTTTCTCTATGCCTCTGAGATACTATCTCCTATACATCTCATTATTTGTACTCCTGTATGTTAAATACAAAGTCATAGTTAACATTAGGGTTACTTTGGCTGTCAATATGTTGATGATTTGGCTGTCAATGTATGCATGATGTTGCTTTATTAGCCTAGTGGAAATGCTTCTTGTGTAGGCAATAAAAGCAGAAGCATCTTATGAGAGTCATGTTTCAGTTGTTCTCACAAGCCAGTTAAAAAAAAAGGATCAAATATGGAAATAGGCTGAATCCAGCTAGGGGTTGCAGAGAAAGAAAAATCTCCCAGTGAATCCTTAGGAGAAAGGCAATTGGATAGGTTATCAGCTCCTCGATTCCAAGTCCTCCTTCCTTATCTTTCCTGATCACCTGACAGAGTAGTTATTGTTAAGGGGCTGAGAAGACTTCCAAAAGCCATGCTCAGCAGGCTTTTCCTACCTTATTAATTTGATGTTAAAAAAAAAAAAACGAAGATAAACACCCTTGAGTGACATTGATTCCTGGTAATTGCAACCATATGGTTTACCTTGGCAGCTTTACGGCTTTCCACTGCCTTTTTCTGGGGGAGATTTTTTCAAATTCCCAAGTGATTTTCCATCCAGGTATTAACGAGGCCCAGCCACCTAGCTTAGCTTTTAAAGCCAGTCAAGTTCGGCCGGGCGCTGTCACCTCCTGAAGCAACAAACAGGACGTGTGAACGTGCCAATCTTGATTCGTTCGATCGCCCACCTTTCCTCCAGCATCTCGACGCGCCTTCGCGTTTTGCTGGCGCCGCCGCAACAACCCAGAGGGAGAGGTTGCACCGTGAAGCCCGCGGAGGGCGGTCATATTTGGCGGCGGCCACTCCCGCGCTGCGTCAGAGCCAAAGCGCTGCGCGCGCGCAAGAACGACTTCTCCGGGCGGGACGCCTCCAGTTCTGGGCATTGCAAGAGGAAGCTCCTTCCGGCCAGAGGGGAGGCCCGGGGCGCTCCAGGCTCAACCCCGAAGTCTTTTCCAACGCCGAGAGGCGGCGAGGGCTGGTCGGCCCGCTCGAGCAGCCCCGGCCTGGCGCCGCTGATAGGTTCGTTCAGCCGCGGGGAGGCGGGAACGGACGGGAAGCTGGGAGGAGGTGGAGACCTCCAGGAGCAAAACAAAACGCGGACCAATCGGTATCCGTCAGCGGACGGGCGGGAAGCTAGATTGCCGGAACAGGGGAACCCGCTGGGAGTGCGGAGGAAGTTGGTGTGGGCGGCGGGAGAAGCCGGTCTCCAGATCTGGCGGCCTTTGGAAAGTGGTTTCCGTGCGTGGGGCTTTCCTGAGGAGGAGGAGCGGCAGCGGCAGCGGCAGCGGCGGCGTCTGCAGCAAAATCCCCGGGATTTTGCGAGGCTAACCTTTAATTCGATGCAGAGCTGATCCCCGATTTGTTTTCGGCTCCAGGGAAACAACAGGGCTTTTCATTTGACACGGAGGCTGGCAAAACGGTTGTCTTCCATTCGCACTGAATTCCCTGACTTGGTTTTCCCTTTTCTGGTTTTGTTTGATATTTGTTTGTAATTAGCTGTATTGAACAGCCCTGTTTTTTTCCTAGGGAGTAAGGGGTTATTTGCAAATCATTTTTAGGAGATCTAAACCCAACGGGACAGATGTGAATCGCTTTGACCTTCCAGTTATTGAAAACATGTCAGCATATTTCCTCCTCACTCTTAACAAATGAATAATTGAATATACGTGTATACATCTTCACCTAGTTTTTTTAAAAATAATTTCTTAGGTGCAATGTGAGTGTGCATTGTTCTGAAGCACTATGAGCAACGTGAGGGTTAACAGGCTTGTCAGCGTTTGGCTCTGGATGTATTTCTTATTTTTAAACCTAGGAGATTATTGGTTTTAGTAACAGACACATTTTTCCTATTTGGCAGGGAAGTATTGCAAGGTACTACTGTAGGCATGAAAAGAGGAATAAGTGACATGTATTTGCAAAGCATCCAAATGTAAAAGTTGGGAGGGGACGTGGATATCAACCAGTGCAAGAATCTATTGCAGTGGACTTCTACATCTCTGGCTAAAATTAATGCATTTTGGCCTTAGCCTTGAGTTGTTTTTCTTTCTAAAATACATTGTTGTTTGTACTCTTTTTTAGGAATCTTTCAATCTATTAATAGGACAGCATTGCATAAATATGGACAGAAATCCTTCACCCCCCTCAAGTGATTCAGAGGAGGAAGAAGTGGCTGCTGGAGATTCCATTGGAAATACAGTCTACAGCAAACTCTGGCTATTTAATGTGCTTACAAAATTAATTGAGGTATTGATTGTCTTCCTCATGCGCACTGGCTGTATTGCTGAAACGAGGGATCTTTTCATAGAAGGGTGGCCTGCACAGGTCAGGTTTTATCATGCATCAGTGATTCAGTACCTTGGGAATAGGTATTTAACAGCTGATTAGGAATAGTTAACTCAAATTATCACTCAAGTTTGCAGACACAGAAGATGTCATTTTAAATTAATCAGAGTGTTAAAAGACTTCACCCAGAGTCTTATGTTAAAATTTGAACAAGGTCAGGCAAAAACCTGAACAATTTTCTAATGGGAAAAATTGACTGGGAATTAAATAATTATTAAAAATATTCAGTTATTCTATGATTAATTCAGGATGGATCAGAACAAAAGAAAAGAAAATATAGATGTCGTAGATAAAAGATAACATTGTATACAGTAGAATTACTGTAGTGCTGTCTTGGACATCTTGACCTGTTAGGTGTTTTCCTATCATGGCACTTATATTCACCTAAAGTTCAACATTTCCATCCTGGATTTATCAACAAAGTGAATGTCAACAGTCCAAAGACATGGTAGAGATTGGGACTTTCCAGATAAATTCTTTTTAGTTTAACTAACTGGAAGCAATAGAAGTGTGTGAGTAAAAAACAATAAATCCTCTTATTTCTAACAGTTCCTAGCTTTGAGGAACAGAGGGACAGAGTAGCAGAATGTCTAAGCAAAGTACGTATTAAGAGTGCGTCAGCATATCTGATGTCATCTGTAATCCTCAATTAGATTAACTGAGTCATGTGTGGCACAGAACCACAAGAGCCAATCTGTCATCTTAAAGGTGATAAATATGTTTAGATTATCATCACTGCCCAATATAGATGTGTGTGTGTGTGTGTGTATATATATATATATGTACAATTATAGTTTTATATGTTAAATATATAAATGTAAAACAACAAAAAATGTTGAAATTAGAAAGACTTGCCTTTTACTAAACATGGATGGACTCTGGCTGCAATAAATAACATTCCTACATCTGCTATGGTAGTATAATTGCAGCATGAACATTACTTCTGTTATGCTTTATGAAGGTAACAATAGATTGTTACAATAATTGCTTAAGTCTACTGGTATGTTTTCCGTGGGCTATCGTATTTGGGTAGAAGTTGCATGTTATATCCCATGTATAGGAGAAAAACTTTGTGTTATTTTAATTGTACTGTTCTAACAGTATGAAATTACCCCTCTCCCTTCAGCCATTTCTCTCCTGAGTTTGAAATCCTTGGCATCTGGTTTGCAGTATATAAACCCTAGTGGGTGGTTGAAAATAAACAGAAACTATTGTATATAGAATGAGAGAACGATCCCTTTTCTCAACCACCTCCCACCCACCCAATAACTCTGCCACATTCTTTGTAGTTTTTATTACTGTTTGGAAAAATCAGTCAATCAAATCTTTTCATAGACAGGTATAAGGTACAATTACGAAGAATTACAACTATTTCAATAATAACACTGAAACTTTTGGGAAATTAAAAAAAATCTAAAAACTAGCATTGCTAATACAATACTATAATATTAAAATGCTAGAATCTCTCTACAAAATTCTTAATATTAATACAAAGACTTAACTAAAAGAGGGGGCACTGTTTGGAAATGGTGATATTTTTCTTCTAATTGAGAGCACTTTCCAAGGACTGTTCAAAATGTTACCATATTTATCAAGATGTGGAAATGGAATGAAAGAGAGCAATAGAGTATTTGATTTCCAAATGATACAGTTGTGAGAAAAATGAATCTTTGGGTGAAAAAGACAAGTTTCTAGAGGCCTCAGATGAATGGGATCGCCTCAATAAGATTGAAACATAAAGG